TAAACCTTTAAAATTCGAAATAATAGTAAAAGATCTTTAAAAATTCTCAAATTAAATCCTAGAACTCCTAACTAATCCAAATTTCAGATTCTGAAATTTATTCAAGTTTTCACAAAGTTTCGAATTTTCTAGAAATTAAAAACTAAAGGAAATATAAAACCCTTTGTAAAAAAAAAAAAAACCAAAACTCCAATATGACTTTAATATTTTGAAAACTTTTGTAAAGAAAACTTTTTCTTATTTAATACTTGCTGGAAAACAGATTCAAAATCAAGAAATGAGAGATTTTTCAGAAATTGCAGTTTTGACCCCAAAATTTCAAAATTTACACATGCAACCACACTAGAAGTTCAAAATCCACTTTTTCATGAAAAACCCTTAACAAATCTGAAATTCTATTTTATTAGATGGAGAAATCGAAGTTGAAAAGTCACTTTATGCAGAATTTTCGAAAATTACATAATTTACCCCGAAATACCTAGATCTACACATGCAAGACCACTAGAAGTTCAAAAAATCACTTTTTCTTGCAAAACTTCTTTAAATCCGAAATTTTTGTTCAATAAATGCTGGAAAACAGTTTTGAAAACACGTTTAGGCCGGACTTCTCAAAAATTACAGATTTGGCCCAAAACTTCTAAGATCTACACATGCAACCCCAAAAAAGTTCAAAATTCATTTTCTTGAAACCCCTTTTTTGAAATCTGAAATTGTTGATGTTTTTGGCCAATAAAATTTGTATCCACCTACTACCAACATAGATGAGGCATGCAAGAAGAAGAGATTAAGGATTAACACAAAATTTCCATTTTCCCCAAAAAAATCCCTAACTTTCGAAATACTTAAAAGTCTTTTAGGTAATCTTGAAAACTCTTTTAAAATAATATGATATCTTCTAATTGCAGCAAGAAACTCGAAATTTCTTACCCAAATCACCAAAAGGAAAATGAAGAACAAGCAAAATAGAGAGACTTCAAGGGTTGATGCCAAACTCGAACCAAGCTACTTTTATGGTGAAAGATATAGTGTGTGCTTCCAAAATGGATGTGTTGTTTTCTCCGGTGAATGGACAAGTAGTTTTTATGGTGTTCTTTGCATACTCTAGAGCCATGGTTAAATAGGGGATTTTCATGGTGGCTTTTGATTTTTCTTGTAAAATGAGTGGTGATGTGGAAGAAGCCGAACAACAATGGTGGTGGTGATGTCTCGGTGGAAATGAGGGGAGGAAGCCAAGTAGAGAGGTTAGGTGTTGTAAGGAAAAAGTAGAAGAGTGTCTCTTCAAATCTCTTGAGTGTGGATTAAGAGAAATGATTAGAAAATGCCAAGTGTTAAGTCATGCAAAAATATTACTAATTTTATTTATTTATTTTAAACACCCCTTTACTAACACACACACATCATCCGATCCATGGCTGCATGTATATGTATATATGTATATATAAAGTACACACATATAAAATCATATATATATGAATATATGTATAGTGCGTATATATGTATGCAGGATGTAGGTATATATATATATATATTTATATATAATTATGCATGTACACATAGTAGAAAATGCAAATTATTTAACTAAGTCACGAAATCACAAAATCACACATAATAAAGTTATTAATTAAATATAGCACGTCAAAGTACCTAAAATATTTATGCAAGTTATCAATTTAATTCACGTAAAAATTTTTGAGGAAAATTTAAGTTCGTAGTTTGGGGTTTTGAAAGTATGGGGTATTACAATTATTATTATTATTATTATTATTATTATTATTATTATTATTATTATTATTATTATTATTATTATTATTCTTGTTGTTGTTGTTGTTGTTGTTGTTGTTGTTGTTGTTGTTGTTATTATTATTATTATTATTATTATTATTGTTGTTGTTGTTGTTGTTGTTGTTATTATTATTTTATCTCCTATTTTCCAACCTATTTTTTTCTAAAATAAATTTGCTTCATTTGTTTAATGATCAATTTCATATTATGACAATTAAGTTTATTATATATATATATATATATATATATATATATATATATATTGAATGAATTCGTATTATTAAATTCGTATGAATGTTGATGTTGTTTTCGATATCACTAATAAATTTTATTATATTTGTTATTATTATGTATTAAACTAATCATCATTTTTATTTTTAAAATAATATGCCGTGCATCGCACGGGGGAAAATGCTAGTACATATTCAAAATAACATTTCATGCTGTATAAAAAAAATAATAATAAGGCTCGTTAGCCGGCTCATGAGCTCACGAACAACTAAAAAAAAAGTCAAGCTCGACTCTTAGAAAGCTCGAGCTAGGGGTGTAAACGAGCCGAGCTCGCCTTATTTCGTGAGCTCGAGCTCGAGCTCGCCAAGGCTCGAGCTCGAGCTCGAGGAGCCTATAAGTTTTAGCTCGAGCTTGAGCTCCTTGTGTTTCAAGAGCTCGAGCTCGAGCTCGTATACGAAATGAGCCCGAGCTCGAGCTCGGCACAACCAAAAATCCATCCATCAAATTTATTTTTTCAATTAAAAAAGTAATATTATTCTTTTTTTATTTATTATTAATAATATTCATTATTGTTGAATTTGAATGCCTATCAAAGTCCACTCATCTGTTGAGACAGACTACGTGTTACGACATTAGGAGTGGCAACAGTATTCTTGTGTTATCACAGTAATTAACCTACTAAAAGCAGAATAAAAAACACAAGAATTTAATGTGGTTCGGATACAAACGTACCCTACATCCACGAGGACTTGCAAAACTAGTTCAGATTTATGTGTACATTAATAGGACTTAATAAAACACTAAAGACTCCCTCTTTATGTGATACGCCGTTCTTGCACACGACTCGAACTTGTTGATAATCAAAGCAATTCCTCCTCCGCACTCTTGGACTTACTCCAATGTTGAACTTCCTTCAAACGGCGGATCGACCTCTCCCGAGATCTTTTAAGCACTTCTCCCGAAACGCCGATCTTCTTTATGGCCTGGTAGAAGAAACCTGTTCTGTTGCCACACCTGCCGTGCAGACAGGGCTGCAGCACGGGCTGCACCCTTCAAAGCCTTTATGCTGAGATTTTTCTTATTAAAGCTCCATCGGACTCAGATGAGGTTGAGGGCCTTATATAGGCACGAAATCCACCACCCTAAACCTAACTTGGGCCCTAAGAAATCGATTAACTAGGTAATAGAATCCTAGTCGATTTCTACTTCTATTCTACATAAGTACAAAAAATACCTAACTAGAATATAATAAATGGAAATAAATCTAAGTCCTAATAACAATATTACAAAAATAGGACTCTAATTAATTCCAAAATAAACATGGAAAACAAATCTTTGCCAATCTTTAATTTCCACGTATGGCGGATTTCTTCAATCTTCACAAATAGAAATCTCGTGCCAACAATCTCCCCCTTTGGCATAGATTGGTTAGAATCCATGTTTAACAAGAACTCCCCCTGCAACAGAGATGCCACTTTTCTTCACCCGTCTTGGTCTTCTATCAGAGTGTCCCATCACGGGGCACGTTACAACGCAGCGGAATTGGGTGAATGCCGTGACAGACTTCCGTCTCAACCTTCCTTGTGAACACACGTCATCCAATAAGCAAAGCAAACAAATCAAAACCCAAAATCGGACACTAAGTATATCTAGTGACCCGCTCTGATACCAATTGTTGAATTTGAATGCCTATCAAAGTCCACTCATCTGTTGAGACAGACTACGTGTTACGACATTAGGAGTGGCAACAGTATTCTTGTGTTATCACAGTAATTAACCTACTAAAAGCAGAATAAAAAACACAAGAATTTAATGTGGTTCGGATACAAACGTACCCTACATCCACGAGGACTTGCAAAACTAGTTCAGATTTATGTGTACATTAATAGGACTTAATAAAACACTAAAGACTCCCTCTTTATGTGATACGCCGTTCTTGCACACGACTCGAACTTGTTGATAATCAAAGCAATTCCTCCTCCGCACTCTTGGACTTACTCCAATGTTGAACTTCCTTCAAACGGCGGATCGACCTCTCCCGAGATCTTTTAAGCACTTCTCCCGAAACGCCGATCTTCTTTATGGCCTGGTAGAAGAAACCTGTTCTGTTGCCACACCTGCCGTGCAGACAGGGCTGCAGCACGGGCTGCACCCTTCAAAGCCTTTATGCTGGGATTTTTCTTATTAAAGCTCCATCGGACTCATATGAGGTTGAGGGCCTTATATAGGCACGAAATCCACCACCCTAAACCTAACTTGGGCCCTAAGAAATCGATTAACTAGGTAATAGAATCCTAGTCGATTTCTACTTCTATTCTAGATAAGTACAAAAGATACCTAACTAGAATATAATAAATGGAAATAAATCTAAGTCCTAATAACAATATTACAAAAATAGGACTCTAATTAATTCCAAAATAAACATGGAAAACAAATCTTTGCCAATCTTTAATTTCCACGTATGGCGGATTTCTTCAATCTTCACAAATAGAAATCTCGTGCCAACAATTATTATATATTATTCTATGTATAAAAAATATAGAGAAAAGGTAAAGCTCGCGAGCCTGCTCGCGAGCCGTCGAACAACTGAAATGAAGCTCTAGATCGACTCGTCGAAAAGCTCGGGCTCGTGAGCTCGAGCTCGAGCTCGATTTTTCGAGTTCGAGTACGAGCATTTTTCGAGCAAGCTTCGGAAGCTCGCGAGCCGGCTCGTCTCATTTACACCCCTAGCTCGAGCTCGAAAAACTCAAGTTCGAGTTCGAGTTTTTTTGGAGGCGACTCATCGAGATTATGAGTCGGCTCAGCTCGTTTACCATCCCTACATTTTAGTCTAACGTACGTGTTCAAAATTTATAAATAGAAAGACAAAAAATTATGTTGCAAAAATTAAAATTCTATGTTTTTTTTTCGTATACAAATAGAATAAAATTTAATATGCAACAAATTATTATTTGCAACTTATATGTACATATATATAAACACTTTGATAATAAAAAGAAATAGAAGTTAGGTGCTGGTCCGTACAATCCATGGCGTCGCTGTTTCTCCGCCTCACACTCTTCCATAGTTTCCATTCAGGTATCAGAACACGCACAAAAACACACACAGTAACGGAATTACTCCTCGCTCCCTACTCTTCACTCTTTCTTCTCTCACTGATTATTTTTTTTGCCCTTTTTTTTTTTTTTTTTTTTCTTTTATGGTTTCAAGGTGTTTGATTAAATGCCTGAATAGAATTCATTACAAACCAAGGCACCCCTTTTCCACATTTTCCTTCTTACCGATTTTCAGTTCTTGATTTGTAAGAACTGTTGAGATATGGAGTGTCACGTAGTAAGCATCGCGTTGCAACCATGTTTATCCAGGTGATTCTCTATTTTCACCTCCCTTTTTTTTTTTTTTTTTTTTTAATTATGGTTGCTAATTTTTGATGTGTTAGGAATGCTAGAATGTGAATTCGATTGTGATTGAATTTGCGCTGATGGTTTCTATGGTAAATTGGTAGGATCAATTTGAAGCAAATTGATAAGATTCATGCTGGTATGTGTGGATTGTACGAGAAAAGACCGAACAATCTGAGTCGGGTTTCGATTGTTAAAATCCCCGTTCGGTTTGAACGCCGGAGAATATTCCGTTCACAGGTGAGTTTGGGGGAATTTTCGACATTAAATTCGACTGATTTCTCCGAGGAGGCCGTTGGAAGACCGCTGAGTAGTGAAGAGGTGATACAAAAGTTTGCTTAAACAAAAAAAAAATATACGAACTTCTTTATATTTCGTTGCTAAAAAATCTCGTTGCTTTTGTAGTTGAAAGCGTTACTTGCCGATTCCGAAAGATCAAAGCTTATCAAGAAACTAAGCGAAGCGAATCAACAAAATCGGTTTCTCAAGCGCGAGGTTGGTTATTATGAGATTGAATAATTGAATAAAGAATGAATGTTTGCATAGCGCTGCAGGGGGGCCATGGCCCCCCATTGCTATAGAAATTTGTTGTTTTTCGAGTAGTGCAGTATTCTCGGCCCTCTAGAGAACACTTTTAACGTATATTTACTATTTAGCCCCCACGAAGATAAAATCTGTGTTGTTGAAAACTTTGTTTCGCATTCGTTAAACACAGTTATTGGTAAAGGAAGACGCACTAGTTAATTTCAAGAGCGAACTTGCCATGATAGAACTCGAGATCCAGGTACATCTTTAGTAAACTTCTTAGTTGTAGTATTTACTATTTAGTCCTCAAGGAAAATTTTCTGGTCAAAATGCTTTTCGAAATATAACGAAAAAAATTTCGTGTTTAACCCGCAGGCCCTGGTTGGTTTGGCGGGAGAAATTGCTAACTTCACTATTCCGGATGGTTCTCGAAAGATTAACGGAAAATATATTCAGTCTCACCTCCTTTCAAGACTAGAAGGTATAGACTTTCTTTATTTCTGTCTTATCCTAAAAAGCTCGTGCGGTCACTTATGATTAATTTAGAGTAATCTTTTTTACTAATGAACTGAAACGGAGCAATCGGAGCTACCTTGAATTATCATTTTATTTTCGCCAAAAAAAAAAAAAAAATTAAAAGCGTTTATTACAGATGCTAAAATGTTAGTCATACTTTGTCTCGACTAAATATATGTTTTTACATCTCATTGTACGATGTTTCGAACGGTTTAAGCTGTCCATGAAAAGCTCGAGAAACAGATTGAAGATGTGGATGGTGCACAATCACAAGAAGTTCCTTTGTTTTGGCACGGTGTAGCAGAGGTAAATTACCAACGGAAATAAATAATTAAATACCCATCTTTTGATTTAGGCTGTTTAATTTTAAAAAATGTGTATAAATTGTATTCCTTTTCATTGCTTCGATTTATAACAAGATTCAAGAAAATATGAATGTTAAAAAAATGGGCAAATGACGGCCACCCTGAGTTAAGGTCAAATTACGAAAACCCTCTTTCTGTTTGGGTAATTACAATCACCCTCTCAACTATGTATTATCTTACGAAAAATACCCCTCCAAAGGTAAATTTAGGGATGTTAATTATGTAAAAAATCGAACCAAAATTTCGGTACGCCAACATTTCATACCGTTTACCGAACCGAATATACGATTTGGTTCGGTAAAATACCAAATTACTTAAATTTGATTGAAAATATTTAAAAGAACGGGCTGGCTTAATTACCCAAACAAGAGGGTTTTTTTCGTAATTTGACCCTACCTCAGGGGGTGGCCGTAATTTGCCCTAAAAGAATTGATGAAGAAAATATGAGCTTTAGTTTGGTGTCTCTAGCACCGATATAGCTCACGTTGATAAATTCAAAAATCGTCAAAGACAATGAAAAGTTATACGAACATTATTTCATTGTGTCTACGTTATCTTGCATGAGTAAATACATTAATTTACTATCATCCATGTCGAAATTTGAAATTTTTATATTCGTGTTTGAGTTTCAGAGTGTGCAAGTAATGGGCTCGTTCGACGGGTGGAGTGAAGGAGAACACCTGTCACCCGAGTATACTGGTTCATACACAACATTCTCTACTACATTGATACTTAGACGTGGAAGGTACATTATTATTACACAGCAATTTGGTAAGTTATTATTGATATTTGAGTTTTTCTTATTTATTGATTTTTGGAAAGGTACGAAATAAAGTTTTTAGTGGACGGAGAATGGAAACTATCGCCTGAATATCCGACAGTTGGTGAGGGTTTGATGCTGAACAATTTACTCGTAGTGGAATAAGCTCCCGTTTTTGCTGGTTCGCTTCGCTCTTAACTATCTTCTCGGTCTTAGATTTTTTTGCAAATAATAGTTATATGAATAATTCTCTATGTTACCCTGTTTTCTTTCTCCAATAAAGTGGAAAAAAGTAGGATAATTGATACTGCATATATAACATACATGACTGAAATTGCCACACATGTTAAAAAGTTTTGAGTTTGGCTTCTGAAGTGTTTTATTAATTTTTTTTTAATGCAATGCATTCAATTGGATAAATTTAATGAATTTGTTATTATGAATTTAAGATTTTCCTAATTTCGGATTTTTTTTCCGGTACAAATCAGTTATATCTTGCCCATTTTACTCACATCCACACGTGAGATTATGTATAAATCAAAGTCGAAAATAACTCAGCGAAATTCATTGGGTGTAGCACAGAATAGACAGTTTATTACTCGTTGTTACACGACGAAATAGATAGAGACGGTTCTACCTGTTAGAATAACTTGCATTCTTGAATGGAATATTTCGAGTTGTTGGGAGAATCTAAACGATAAATGATTTATATGAAACAAGTGGACTATATTACAAACGCTCGTCTGATCTCTTCGATGAATCGATTACAAGACTCTTCTTATATTACAAGGAAACTGAAAAGTACTAAAACAAGTTAACAACCGTACAAGTTTAGTACACACACTTGTATAAATCCCACAAAGGGCAAAACACACATTTATTTCTAAATAAATGAAAAAAAACATCTTTATTTTTTGCGCAAAACACACATTTATCGGCCGATGTTGATGCTCGAGGTAATCGATAAAGGCTCAGTATCGGAGCTAGCTGATGGGCTTTCAGGTGCGTTAAACACGGGCACTGGCATTTTAATCTCGAGTTTGGGCAAATCCGCTTCGAAATTGAGTACACGGCTAGCTTGCCTTATCGACGGCCTCAAGCAAAAGTCGGGATGAGCGCACCATAACCCGACTATCATCAAACGCTCAGCTTGCTTCGTGTCGAAATCATCTCGCACCTTCTCATCCACACCCGAAAGAAGCTTTCCGTTCCCATATAAATCCCAAACCCACTCCACCAAACTCTTATTACACTCCTGGTTCAATGGACCAATAGATTTTTTACCTGTGGCGATCTCGAGGGCCACAACCCCAAAACTGTATACGTCTGACTCTTTGCTGGCTCTGCCGCTGCTCAAATATTCAGGCGCCATATAGCCGAAAGTTCCAGCCAGGCCCGTTGTCCTTGGTGTGAGCCCATGGTCCATAAGCTGGGCCAGCCCAAAGTCGCCAAGCTTGGCATTGAGGCTCGAATCGAGCATTACGTTGCTCGATTTGATGTCTCTATGCACTACGCATTGCTCCCAATCTTGGTGGAGATAGAGCAAAGCGGATGCCAAGCCAATGGCTATATTATACCTTTGGGTCCAAGTAAGACTCTTCTCTCTACCAAACAGGTGTTGGTCCAGGCTGCCGTTGGACATGAACTCGTACACGAGCAGCAACTCGCCCTGGTCGTGGCTCCAACCGATTAGTTGCACCAAGTGTTTGTGCCTCAACATGCTTATGACCTTCACCTCCGTTAGGTATTGTTTTTTCCCGTGTTTGGATCGCCCCGAGAATCTTTTGACAGCGATTGGAATATCGAGGTCGATGAGGTGTCCTTTGTATACCCCTCCGAATCCTCCCTCTCCCAATTTTCTCTTTTCCGAGAATTTATTAGTGGCCGCATAAAGATCTTTGTATGAAAAACTTTTTGGCCCCACAGCAAGATCATCGTTTATCATCGATGTCGTGTTCGTTGCACCTGGGTTCACTTTCTTATAGCTCCGTTTTTTCCTCAACACGAGAACTGCAACGGCAATCAAAGCACATACAAACAAAGCTAGACCGACAACTAATCCGATAGTTTTGTTTGAATTATTATTATTGTTAGTAATCGGAATAGTAGTATTAGTTTTATTATTCACAATCGCGTCGATTATGTCTAGACTCGAATGGAAGTCCCACGATGCAAGCGTGTGCCGCTCGTAAGTGAATCCCGTGGCAGCAGAGATACCGACAGTGACCCTCTGAGGAAGAACCTCTTTGAGATCTATCTGCCAAGAAAGGCTCGATGAATTCGACCCTCCGTAGCTCCACGATACACTCAAGTTTCTCGTCGTGGAGTTATACCGAACCCAGGCATCTGCGAGTTCTCCACTATGTAGAGTCGAATTCCATCCGCTCGATATTGCTGAAGTAATCGAGTTTATATTGATTCCCACGTGCCCACGACCATCTGTTGGAACCAAAATTTCATCATTGGAGGGCCGAATTTACATTAAAATAAAAATATCGTAATGAACTTATGACAACAACTATTGTTCGAAGTCACAATTCGCAACTTACTTATTTGATAAAAAAAGAAAAAATCAATTAATTTGTTTTAAAACATATATCGTTTTAGAAAGCACTTAACGTTCTTTCACGTCATGAGATGCATCGCTGATCGAATCCATACACGAGATTCCAGTTAGTTGTCATCTCTTAGTGTCGCTAACAACCGAGCCAAGTATTTATATGAGAGTAAGCTATAAATATACGGAGATTCGGTAGCAGCGCTCTTTAGTGTATAATTAAAAGAATATACTGGTGACTCACCTGAGGGATCCCATCCATAATTGTAATACGTGTCGAATTCGACAGAGACAATTTGGGCCTGATTAGGTTCGGTTTTAGGGGTGTTGAAAAGTCCCAAGTAGCCGCCGGCTGAATTAGGTGGTATTTGGAAGCCCACCGGTGCCATAAAGAACGCGAGCCCGTCGCCGTGGAGCGGACCCTGTCCCGTGTCGATGGTGAAAGAAAAATGTGTGGTGAAATCTGCATTCGAGGACTCGTTCCAAAGAGGTACGCTACCGTTGTAGATGACTCGGCCAACGCGAGTGTAGTCAACGGTGGTCAACTGGATTTTTCCGGCGGTATAAAAGGCGTCGCCTTCGAGGAGTACGACATTCACGTCGGAGCCGAACTTTGGAAGCTGGAAACTAACTGATTTAGAAAACGGAACGAGAAAGACAACTATGAAAATTACGATAAACGACGCAGTTTCCGACATGATTCGGAACTTATCAAAGTTTATATACAATGCAGTTTCAGCTTCCAGATATGATGCTTATATATATAGATATGTATGTATGTGTATGCACTGGCGGATCCAGGTTTTACGTCAAGGGTGTGCGAAATTTAATAAAAAAAAAATATAAACATACACAAAAAAAAATGTACAAGACATTAAAAATGTACATCTCTTACATACAAATATAAAGTTTTTAGAATATCTTTCGCCGTGGTCCCATTTCTTGAAAAAAATTCATCACCTCATCAATACTAACGCCGTTCAATATATCTTTTTCAATGTACGACACTAAAACATCATTCAACATTTGATCCCCCATTCGATTGCGTAGCTCCAACTTAACAATCTTCATTGCAGAGAATATTCTTTCAACTGATGCGGTTGCAACCGGCAAAATTAATGACAACTTCAATAATAAGTACACCAATGGATAAGTCACATTCTTTCTCTTGGCAACCAACTTCTCAGCAAGCCTGCTAGCTCCACTCATATTTGAAAAGTCTTGATCACTTTTAACATCCCTGATATAATTCTCAAGCTGGTTTTCAAGGGCTATAAGATCATTATCATCAAACTCTTCAGGATAAAATTCAGCTAATTTCACCAAAGTCTTTCTATCAAATGCAGAGAACGAATTACTTGGATCAAAACATGATATCAGACTAAGTAACTCCGTATTAGTATTGTCATTCAATTCTGAAAGTTGAAGATCGATCACTGTATAAAGCACATCAACCTTATAATGATTCAAGTTTGTAATTTGCGTACCTTTTCGCGATACTCTGCCATCTCTCGAGTAAAGTACAAAATCATCATTCATATTTGGAATGAGAATGTTATTTTGAACACAAAAGGATGAAGTTTCTCGCAACAAATCGTCCCACCCACCTTCTCTCAACTCTTGCAGTCGATCTTTAGCAAAAATAACAAGTTTCATAGCATTTGCAAGGTCCTGATCCTTCCTTTGAAGTGCTTGTAACAAATCATTTGTGATCCCTAAGATCGATCTCATTAAGTGCAAGACAAAAGCAAACTCGAAACACACAATATTCCTTAAAAGCATTGAGGCTTGTCCACAATGAGAAACATCATCACTATTATTTTCTAAGTACTCTAGTACACCAACCACCGAAGGAAACAATTTAATCATACTCGTGATTGTGAAATAATACGAATTCCAACGTGTATCTCCGGGCCTTTTTAAAGTGGACTCTTGATTCAAACCACTACCATTTACAAAATTATCAAAAGAAACTCTTTACATTAACTTCTCAAATTGTTTCTCCCGAAGCAACTCTTGACGTTTACAAGAACCTCCAATAACGTTAGCCAACAATGCAAGAGAACCAAAAAATTATGAAAGTTGCTTATTTTTCTTAGTAATTTGCACAAGAGCCAACTGAAGCTGATGAGCAAAACAATGAACATAAAAAGCAGACTTGTTTTCTTTCAATATTAAACTCTTCAAACCATTAAACTCTCCTTGCATATTACTAGCTCCATCATAACCTTGGCCACGCACTCGCGACAAACTCAAGCCAAATGTTGTAAGAAGAGACTCAAGAGAAGCTTTCAGACATTGTGAAGTCATATTTGGAACATGAACAATGCCAAGAAAGCATTCAATAATTTTTCCTCCCTTGTTTACATAACGTAAAGCAACCGCCATTTGTTCTTTAATGGAGACATCACGTGCCTCGTCAACTAATAAAGCAAAGAAATCATCTCCAATATCAGAAATAATAGTCTTCGAGACTAAATGAGCAAACGCACCAATGATTTGTTTTTGAATTTCTGGTGCTGTCATAATACAATTTCCTTGGGAGTTATCCAAAACAACTTTGTTAATTTCATCATTATCTTCCGCCATAACCTTTATAAGTTCCACAAAGTTACCTTTATTTAGCGAACTCTTTGACTCGTCATGCCCCCGAAATGCAAGTCCTTGCCTTAATAGATATCTAATGGCCTTCGTTGTTGTACGCAACCGAATGTAGTAGTCGCGTTTAGATTCCTTAGTTTTGCTCTCAAGAGGAACATCTATGTGACCTTTATTATTCATCAAATCTTGACAAGCCATATAGCAATGATGATGAACACTGTCATGATTTCCCTCGTGTTTTCTCAAATTTTCCTTCTTGTACCAGTTTCTATAACCTTCACTGACAAATTTACCACCGCCCCCTTTGGCACTTTCTCCAACCTTAAATAGATAGCAACATAAACAATATACCGCGTCTTTACTTTCACTATATTCCAACCAACTACCAAACTCATTGTACCAATCTACAATAAATTTGCGTTGTTGTCCATAGGAAATAGTTTGAGGAAATTTACAGAGTCGAGGTTGACAAGGACCTTTTTGTAAGTAAGCTCTTCGAACAATTTCAAGCTCTTTAGAAGTCTTGGCAAGATCACTAATAGGCAATCTCAATCCCGGGTCAGCTTCAATAGCACTCAAATTAACCTCTACTTGCGATTGATTGTGAATACCTTGAGTATGTTCTTCAGGGACGCTATCATTAATTGGCGTTTCTTCTTGGATTCTAACATTAGTCTGCGTTTCTTCTTGGACGTTATCATTAGTCGACGTTCCAATATTGATATTATCATTTGAAGTAGATGATTCTCCTAGCCGATGACGTTTAGTTTTTATCATAAATCGATCCATATTCTACAAATAAATAGAATGGGCAAGAATTAAAGATAAATTCGCACCAATCGATATAAGTCTCATATAACAAAATAAATCAAGAATTTTTAGCAGTATTAACTTGTTAATCCCCAAATATTATTAATTGATAATTGTTACTCTGACTCACATATAATAAAATACTTGATTTAATTGAATCTAATTACTCACTTAGAATATGTATTACAACAAAAACCAAATATAATAAGACACTAACAGAGAAACAGTCACAAACATGGCCCACGTTTGTGGCAACCATATATTTCAACTCTCACTTGAATTTAAAGAAAATGTATTTCACAAAATTCATTAAAAATTAATTGTTGTTCTGATCGAAATAATGTTGTCTTTTTCTTCACAATCTCTCTCATTATGTACACACTAACAAAATATTTATATAAACGCACGTGCAGTGCAGTGCCGCCCCACAAAACATTCTATGCCTTTTTCTCGACTTCCCACTTAGATATTTGAGTTTTGCTATTTAAAAAAACCAAACATCTACAAAACTCCAATTAATCAAAACCCCTTTTTCCAATCCTTAAATCATAAATTGTTGAACCCATTGTTGCTAACCTGTTGTCGTTTAGCCATTAATTTGAGTGGATTAGATGCGGCTCGGTGGGCTGGCGAGTGGCGGCGATGGCTAATTTTTTTCCAGTGATGGCGGCCGGTACAATGGGGAGGGATTTTTGTGAGTAAAGAAAAAAAAAAGCTTTTTTTTGTTTCTGTTGCTTCTGCTACCGTGACTGCCGTGAGAAATTGGGAAAATAAAGTGAAAAGATTTGTGTTGACTTTTAAGTATAGGTGTTATATTTTACTTATTTTCACATTAGTCCCATTTTAGCTTAATATATTAAAAGTACCCTAAGTTATTATATATATATATATATATATATATATATATATATATATATATATATATATATATATATATAATTTTTTTTATTATTTTTTTTTAAAATCCAAGGGTGTGCAAGTGCACACCCTAGACCTATTATAGATCCGCCACTGTGTGTATGTATATATGTACGTACAGACCGGTCTGTATTGTATGTTTATATTGGTTGGTAAAATGTGTACGGTATGATTCGATTGCTTGCAGACGATTAGATATTTCAAAACTAATCAGTTTTGTTTAATTTAATGGGCATGAAAGCTTCATTGAAAACATTCGAAATTATTCAATAATAAAAGTTACATATAATTAAACCAATCAAGAACTCTCTTTTGATTGAAGTGACGAGGATGGGAAGAAAGGAAAAAAATTAACCATTTGATTTATGCAAGTAAACTAAGATGACATTTTCAATTCTACGATCACCAAATATTATATCGAAAATTTTGATAAAGTCCCTCGTGACAAAATCGAGTTGATGGCACAGACCTCCCTGTGTTGTTTCTAATTGTCGAAAAATCCTTTGGTTAAAAAAAATAGCAAGAAGCCTCTCATGTTCTATTTGCTAAAGCGCACTGGTCTTTATTTCGAAATTTATAGCTGACTTATGTGGAATGACCAAATTACCCTTACAAAAGAAATATAAAAAAAAAACAAAAATTGTGTCAAAAAGAATTTCAGAGGGTATTTTTGACTTTTCAAGTCAAAAACTACATTTCTACTCTCACAATCAGCACATGTATTACACGAAAAGTTGTTAAGGTCTTTTTTTTGACTTTAACTATTTTTCATAGGGGAGTTATTGCTAATCTTTTTAACACACGGATTATTTCAGCAATTAGAAATTACACAAGGGTAGATTTTGCAAAAAAACCCGTAACAAAATTATATTCCTATTTCCTAGTACAAAGATACTTTTATTTAATTATATTCCTACAGGCTACAAAGATACTTTTATTTTATGGGGGAGTTTATAGTGAATAGTGATAAAAGATCAAAGTCTAGAAACGAAAATGGAAATAGTTAAAGGTTATATATCAATGAAAATAACAAAATGTGTATGGGGATGTTTGGTTATGTTTCTAATAGGAATTTCTAGTTTTCAAAATTTCTGATGGAAAAAGTAGTTTATTAGTTTTTGTGTAGAAAATGGGATATGTTTGGATGAAGGGGTATTTTTTGTTTTATGTAGGTGTAGAAATAAGAATATGTTTGGTTGTGGTGAATTTTCTCTACGAAAGTACGTGCAAAAGTAGAATATAATGATTGAGGATGATTATTATTATTATTATTATTATTATTATTATTATTATTATTATTATTATTATTATTATTATTATTATTATTATTATTATTATTATTATTATTATTATTATTATTACTATTATTATTATTATTATTATTATTATTATTATTATTATTATTATTATTATTATTATTATTATTATTATTATTAGAAGAAGAAGAAAGAGAAATTGGGAGGAGAGAGAGTGTAGATATTAATGAAGAGAGAGAAATGAGAGGAGATATAGTGTAAATATTTATGAGTGATGAATAGAAGGAGAGAAAAATGAGTTGGTGGAATAAAATATATAGGTTAGTTAGTAGGTTTGAAAATTGAAAAAAATATGAATAGTGTATTTCCAATAGAAATTTGAGAAGAAAAAATGGGATTTTCTAGATAAAATTATCAAACAAACGTAATCTCAATTTTATGAATAGTATAAAACTGAAAAATGATTTTGGAAATAAAAACAAACATCACCTATATGTTTGTTACATAAAGTAATGATGAATAATTAATCACAACGACAAAGGGGTGAAAGAATATATATTAATTATGTAATTTCGTTATCAATCAATGTAAACAAATACCAACTCAAATAAAAAAAAAAAACCAAATTCAAGACTTGGTATATAACTAGATATTACACACGTAATAGTGAGTAAATACATTAATTTACTATAATCCATATCAAAATTTGAAATGTTTATATTCGTGATTTGAGTTTCAGAGTGTGCAAGTAATGGGCTCGTTCGACGGGTGGAGTGAAGGAGAACACCTGTCACCCGAGTATACTGGTTCATACACAACATTCTCTACTACATTGGTACTTAGACGAGGAAGGTACAATATATTATTATACAGCAATTTCGTAAATTATTATTAATATCGAGTTTTTCTTATTTATCGATTTTCGGAAAGGTACGAGATAAAGTTTTTAGTGGACGGAGAATGGAAACTATCGCCTGAATATCCGACAGTTGGTGAAGGGTTGATGCTGAACAATTTACTCCTAGTGGAATAAGATCCCGATTTTCGCTGGTTCGCTTCGCTCTTAACTATCTTCTCGGTATTAGATTTTTTTGCAAATTATAGTTATATGAGTAATTCTCTCTGTTACCCCGTTTTCTTTCTCTCTCCAATAAAGTGGGGAAAAAGTAGGATAATTGTGTAGAAGAAGGGATTATTTCTCATGTCTTATAGATAGAAAAGACACACTCTTTTAAGACAAAGGTGTAGCATAGAATAGACAGTTTATTACTCGTTTTTACACAACGTAATAGATAGAGGCGGTGATTTATATGAACCAAGTGGACTATATAACAAACGATCGTTTGATCTTTTCAATGAATCGAAAGAATCTTCTTATCTGCTGTAAGTAGGCAAAATGGAAAACACAACTTGTACTTATTAGTTATTACAAGCAAACTCTAAACTAACATATATTATCACACATCAACATCCAAATTTTGAAGTGCAAACTTTGACCTTTTCACTTGTTTTTTTTTTTTCTTCTTATTTTCTTTTATCGACCCGTGTTCATACTTGAGGTAGTAATCGAAAAGGGCTCAGTATCGGAGCCAGCTGATGGGCTTTCGGGTGCATTAAACGCGGGCACAGGCATTTTGATCTCGAGTTTGGGCAAATCCGCTTCAAAATTGAGAACACGGCTAGCTTGCCTTATCGACGGCCTCAGTCTGTAGTTAGGGTGAGCACACCACAACCCAACTATCATCAAACGCTCGGCTTCTTCCGCCTCGAAACTGGCTAGCACACTCTCGTCCACACCCGAAAGAAGCTTCATATCCCCATATAAATCCCAAACCCACTCCACCAAACTTTTATTCGACTCTTGATTCAACGGGCCGATCGATTTTTTCCCAGTAGCGATCTCGAGGGCCACAACCCCAAAACTGTATACATCTGACTCTTTGCTGGCTCTGCCACTGCTCAAATATTCAGGCGCCATATAGCCGAAAGTTCCAGCCAGGCCCGTTGTCCTTGGTGTGAGCCCATGGTCCATAAGCTGGGCCAGCCCAAAGTCGCCAAGCTTGGCATTGAGGCTCGAATCGAGCATTACGTTGCTCGATTTGATGTCTCTATGCACTACGCATTGCTCCCACTCTTGGTGGAGATAGAGCAAAGCGGATGCCAAACCGAGCGCTATATTATACCTTTGGGTCCAAGAAAGAATGTTATCTTTCCTAAACAAATGATGGTCCAAGCTACCGTTTGACATGAACTCGTAAACTAGCAATAACTCACCATGATGATCGTGGCTCCAGCCGATTAGTTGCACCAAGTTTCTGTGCCTCAACATGCTTATGACCTTCACCTCCGTTAGGTATTGCTTTTTCCCATGTTTGGATCGCCCCGAGAATCTTTTGACAGCGATTGGAATATCGAGGTCGATGAGGTGTCCTTTGTATACCCCTCCGAATCCCCCCTCTCCCAATTTTCTCTTTTCCGAGAATTTATTAGTGGCCGCATAAAGATCTTTGTACGGAAATCTCCTTGGCCCCACAGCAAGATCATCGTTTATCATCGATGTCATGTCGGCTGCCTCTGGATTCACTCTCTCATCGAAGCCATCCCGTCGTTTTCTCATCAACACCACATATGCCAACGCTCCCCCAGCAATCAGAACGCAACCGAGCAAAACTAAACCGACAACTAATCCGATTCTTTTTTTCGATCCATCCGTCTCGTTTATGTCTAGACTCGTACTCGTGAAGTCCCATGATGCGAGCGTGTGCTTTTCGACGAGAGTCCCCGTAGCGGCGGAGATACCAACGGTGACCCACTGAGGAAGAACCTCTTTCAAGTCTATCTCGTAAGAAAGGCTTGAATTGGGCCCACCTCCATAGCCCCACAAGACACTCAGGTTCTTCGTAGTAGAGTTATATTGGATCCAAGCATCGGCTCTTTCGTCATTGTGCAAACTGACGTTCCATTCGGATGTTATCAAAGAAGTAATCGAATTTTTATTGATTCCCACGTGCTCGTACTTGGGGTCCCACCCCTCGTTGGAGTAGGAGTCGAATTCCACGGAGACGATTTGGGTTTGATTAGAGTTGGTAGTGGTGGTGTTGAAAAGGCCCAAGTAGCCGCCGGCGGAATTAGGCGGGATTTGGAAGCCGACCGGTGCGAGAAAGAAGGCGAGCCCGTTGCCGTAGCGTTCTCTGTTTTGCGTGTCGATTGTGAAAGAAAAATGAGTGGCGAAATCTGCGAGTTTTTGGGAGTCCCAGAGGGGTACCTTCCCGTTGTAGATGACACGGCCCACGCGGCATAGGTAGCCGATGTTGGTGAACTCAATTCTGCCGACGGAATTGACGGCGTCGCCCTCGAGGAGTACGAGGTTCACGTCGGAGCCGAACCTCGGAAGTTGGAAACTCACGGAATGAGAAAATGGGGTGAGGAAAACGAGGAAAATTGCGATAAATAATGCATTCCCACACATGATTCCGAAATTCGCAGGTGATATATTTGCTGAGAGAGGTTTCTTGATAATTTTCAGCTTACAGACGATGCTTATATATAGAGATATAAGATATTATATGCAGACCGGTCTATTTTCTATGTTTATATGTAAATGTTGGTAAATTGGGTACGGTATGGTTCGATTGTTTGCAGATGATTTGATGTTTCTAAACTAATCAGCTTTGTTTATCGACTTATTGTTATTAAATTTTTATTTTTATTTTAGAGAATTATTCAATAGGTTGAGTTCCACGTAATTAAACCAATCAAGACATCTCTTTGATTCAAGTGACGAGGATAGGGAAAAAAAAAAAAAAAAAAACATTTGATTTGTGCAAGTAAAGTAAGATGACATTTTCAGTTCTGCGATCACCAAATAATTAATATTTGCACGAAATAAAACTAATGAAGTTCTGCGATCACCAAATTATTAATATTTGTACGAAATAAAACTAACAATTAAGTCTCGAATAAAAATTTAATTAACGAGCGGTGATTTGCAGGCTGTAATCCTTACTATTGATGAAGGATTTTTTGCGAAATAAAAAATTGTGTAAATTCAATACATTTTAGTTATGGGGAAGTTTCGAAAAATGGCTCCTTATGTTTGTTACATAAAGTAATGATGAATAAGTAATCGAAACGAAGGGGTGAAACAATATAATATCAATTATGTAACTTTGTTATCAATGTAAGCATATACTAACTCATAAGAAAAAAAAATTCAAATTTAAGACTATGTATTATGCACGTAATAGTGACTTGTTCACAAATTGTTCAATACTAAAAAACTGTTGGTTAGTTTTAAGGGTTGTGCTGCTTTCACTATCCACAAAAATTATACCACCATATTTTTTAATTATTGTCTAAAACACCCTTAATTACAAATATTTAATATTTAAAAATATAAATAATAAATTTTATGCGAATTGTCTTTTGTATCCCTTGTATTTTTATTGCTGAATTTGTAAAGTCAAGTATACATTTATTCGTAAAAATCATTAAACCACTCGTTCAAAAATGAATACTTATCATTGGGACACAACACATTATTGAAAATTACCTAACAATAAGCATATATATCACAACGCTACGGTGTATAATGATTATAAGACTTATATAAATAATGTAAATAAATTACTAATTCTCATATAATAATTATTATTATATATTACAAATATCCAATATTAACAGATCTTTATATAATAAATTTTAAAAATCTAAGGAAATGCATATCAACTCGTGTAATTTAAAAATAAATTTCGAAAGAATTTAAAGTTTGAATTGAATCTTAAATCGTAAGATTTGAATCAATTAAGCTCATGTAATGTGTTCAATTCGAAAACAATATTCAAAGATTTGAAACGATTAAGTTCAAGTCATTTTAGACAATATTCAAATATTTGAATTGGTTAAACTCAACAATTTACAGTAACGTATTAATCGAAGTAACTATACATAGTTAAAGTTAAGTATTTTTTTAAGGCTGCGGCTACATGCAATACTAATTCCGCTTGTGCAAGACCAAATTAAAGAAATATTCCAAAAGATTCCATTTCATTAAGATGAAATGACAAATATACTC